TATACTGTATATACACATTTAATATTGCATTATGTAATATTTTGTTATTATAATATATAGAGCAAAAAAGTACAATTTATATAAAAATGTATAGTCATGAATGTAATTTGAAAGAATGAATAATTATATTTGCATTTAAGCATTTCTTAATACTATTCACATACATTAATTTTTTTAACTTGCTTTTGATTTGATGTTGTTTGCAATCACTATTTTATCTCACGTTATTTTGCTGTATCATTTTTACAGGAAATAAGAGAGTGTGAAAATTCAGAGGTAAGAACTTGTATCAAAATCTTTAAGGTCAAAAGACTATGCTGAGAAACAGAAATGTTTCATTGCTTTTGCTTTATATAGTAATTGCTTATTGCTTATATTATTTCTAGCAGACAAAATAAAACAGAAGGTTGAAAAAATTAAATGTGATCGCTTTCCTGCCTCTGTGTGCTTTGACTGACTTCTCGATATCAGATCAAGAGATCTATTAAGAAATCAACTGGATCTTAAAGACAATGCATCCCATTAAACATTCTGTCTATTCCACACAGCTGTGTTTTCATTTATGTCAAATTCAATGTCTATACCAAAGGCACTTTTCAAAGTTTGTCTGAAAGTTAAAGTGTTTAATTAACAAAATAAAGAATTTGAGAGTTTATGCAAACAGATGAACAAAAATAAAAGCAAAACATCATCCATGTGCCTTCCCGCCATAGTTCAACTCTCTAAAAATGCCCTGGTCTTAAATTTCTGCATCGTTCCACTCACCCACACTTTAACAGGCAGAGCGACCAGCAGCAGCAGCAGAGCGGCCCCAGTGCAGAACAAATCAATAAGCACCAAGACAGACATTTGACTGGAGGCAGAGCGGCATGATCATTACACTGAGCTGGACTGACTCTTACCTTCAGACTGTTGTAGGCCAGGTCTGCGTTTATATCGTCCTCTGACGTGGAGATCATGGGCTCATTTCCCTATAAGATAAAAGAATGAATGAGAAAAAAAAATTTTGTAAACACAAGCTGACTGATAAAGCAGAGGACCATGCTGTTGCAAGTCTAGATGAGGGAACATCAGAAAAGATAACTGGTGTTTATGACCGCCTGGCTGTGTTGTAATCTACAGCCAAAAAGTGGGAAATGTTTAGCAGTCACTCAGGTTAAGTTCTGTTAAAACTGTCATGAGAACATAAAGAGAAGAGTATCAACACACAACAATCACCAAATCTCAATTATTTAAGATTAGTTTTATTAACGCATACATTCACTACCTCAAAAACCCTATCAAATTATAAAACAGTCAGTTATCTTTCCTTTGTTGAGATATTTCCAGTCAAAGACAACAGACTTTAGTTTAAATGTCCTAAAATAAAAAAGTAAAAATAAAATGATAAAATAAAAAAACAATATAACAATGATTACGCTCTTCATATATATATTTTTTTCAAAAAAAGTTCTATTTTGTTTAAAACGGTTCTGTATTTTAAATTTTTTTGTATTGTTTTGTGGCAACTGTGAAAAGAGTATGAAAGCAGAAAAGACATGACAAATAAACATGCCTTGTGTGTGCTCAGTTCCTCTACTTTCTCTAAATTGGTCTGCAGCCTCTTTCTTTCCTGCTCCAGCTCTCGCACACGCTTCTGTAACTTCATGAATACACTGAGGTCCATGGCAGCCTTCTCTATGCCCATCTCCTGCAGGAAGACAAACCAAATTGATGCTCATCCTGAAGTGTCTTTATACCCTTTTCAAAGTCTGCTGGTGTATATTAGAAGATTCAATGAAATAGCTTTACCTCCACCTGCTGGATGGTGTCATCAGTGTCTCCCACCTCTGACATACTGATGGAGGGGTAGTTGGAGTCCGAGCCCAGGCTGCTCTGGTTAGAGGGGTTCCTCCGGTGGCCGGGATGGAACTAGAACCATGAAGATGTTACAGACAACAGTAAAAAGCAAATTCCAGAAGTTCAGACTCACTGTCAAAGCGTTACCTTCATGGAGGACATGTCCTCCTGCAGATTTTCGTATCTCTGCTCCAGTCTGGAATATTCTTTCACCAGATTCTGATATCGTTGCCTCTCCTCATCTAGTTCAACCTGCAGATGGATCTCTTTCTGAGACACATCACCTGCCTGACCTGAGAGACAAAACAAAGGCATTCACTCACAGGAATAAAGCAATGAGCCAGACAACAAGCAGCTCCCATTCACCTGTATCAACTTTCACAAGCTGAATATTTCTGTATCACGTGTGTGAAAAACGTATCTTTCTCATAAATTAGGATTTTTTTTATTGAGGGTATGAAAAACTGAAACCTCTTTTGATCTATTTTAGTTGTGAGATCCCAGTTTATTTTACATTCACACTACAGGTTTTGTGTTACTGTGTCCAATTGAATATTAGCCAATGTAATAGTGATGATGATAACACTTTTATCAATCTTTTATTATTCTTCGGCTTGATTGACATTTTATCGATCAATAAAAAGATCTTTATTACTCTGATGGAAGACCTTTGAGCTTCTATGTGTAGGTTACAAAATGTTCTTGATTCTGTAATCCCAATAGAAATAAAATAAGCACATCCTCTACATTCAAAATGCATATTATAATCAAAAAATCACCACTAACTTGACGCAAACTCTTCTCAACTGTACTCAAAGTTGTATGTACAGTGTGAAAGCCTATAATCACATCCTTTCTGAAAGAGCTATCAGACGTATGGCCTGATAGTAGTTTGATAAAGCAGCCATCCATAATTAGGAGATAATTATCATACCAAGATAATGGTATAATAAACCTGTGACATTGTTTCCTTTGACCCTTTTATTTGAAGCAATGACTTGAGGAACAAGTGAAGCTCCATAAAGACATACTAGAAATATGATAAATAAGATTTTTTTAAAATGTTCCTTGTTTCTTTTTGTTTTAGCTGTTATAGAAATGACAAAACAAAAGGGTATTTCATATGTTAAAACTGTTGGTTATCGAGAATTCTATCTGATTTATCAATGCCACATGAAAGCTTGATTGTGCCTCCAGCTTTAACCATACTATTCACATGAATTGCATAAGACTTTTCTTTAAAGGGATAGTTCACCCAAAAACGAAAATCCTGCCACCATTTACTCACCCTCATGTTGTTCCAAACCAGACTTTCTTTCTTCTGTGGAACATGAAAGAAGGTATTCTGAAGAACTGCTTTTTTTCCATACAATACAAAATGAATGGGGCCCAAAACAAAACTGACTGGACTCCATAGACTTACACTGTATGGACAAAAAGTTTTTTGTGCGTGTGTGTTCAGCAAATGAAAAGGAAGTCATTTGGAATGATGTGAGGGTGAGCAAATGACAGTCACCATTATCATTAGTGAAATTAGTGACTCTTTAGATTGGCCGAAATAAAGACCAGAAATAAAAGTTCTGAGAGAAAAATTAGTTTCCTACTAAAGACACTGTTAACAAAAACTGATGAAAGTCGCCAAAACAATCACAGCATTCATAACAGTCCTTTAAATAGTGTTTTGAACAACTTAAACAGCCTCGACAGCAGAACAGCACTGAGGAAAATAAGTGCGGGACAAACTCGTTAAAGTGACATTTAGAAAACAGAAAGCATATTGAGACCAAACCTCGGGTTTCAAATAGCATTCTCGCATGTGAACCGGCTTGATACAAAGGTCAGCTTTTAGTTGTGCAGGTAAAGCAGCAGTGTCACATTCCTCTACTGAAATCCAATGCAGTTCCTGTCTCTCTCATCCCACTTCTGCACACAGACTCTCTTGTGCGTCAAACAAAACCAGCCCAGCCCTCCAGGCAAGCCACACATCCTTTCGCTCCTCATACTCCTTCCTCCAGATGCTCTGAGTGTGCGTGTGACTCTGAAGCATGAAACTCACCCTGATTGGAGGTCTGGATTCTGCGGTTCACCTCTTCTTTCTCCTTCTTCAAGAACGTGTTCTCTTTCTCCAGCTCCTCCACCCTCTGCAAAAGGAAGGGAAAGTCACACCACCCTTTCATCTCAGACCATCAGATAAACAAGTTTAAGTGTAAGCAAGCCAGTTCAGATTATATACAGTGGGGTATACAAGTTAGATTTTTTTTTTGCATTTCTCTAAATTTTATATAAAAGATCTTTGCACAAATACAAATTAGATTATCAGCATACCAATTTTGAGTGAAAAGCTGAATTAAAATAAAATTAATAATTTCAAACCGTCTTATTATTTGATATGTACCTTTTTGTGAATATATATACCTTACTGTTTAAAAGGTTGGGGTCATTAAGATTATTTTCAAAGAAATTAATACTGAAGTCATTAAAAACGCATCAAATGGCATCTAAATGTATCAAGGTTTTCAATAAAATATTAAGCAGCACAACTCTTTTCAACACTGATAATAATAAGATGTTTCTTGAGTATCAAATCAGCATATTAGAATGATTTCTGAAGGATCGTGTGACACTGAAGACTGGAGTAATGGCTACTAAAAATTCAGCTTTGCCAACAAAGAAATAAAGGACATTTTAAAAACATATTCAAATTTTAAAAAGTTATTTTTAATTGTAATTATATTACTGTTTACTGTATTTTTGATCAAATAAATGCAGCCTTAGTAAGCATGAGACTTTCAAAAACATTAAAAATGTTACGATCCCAAACTTTTGAAAGGTATACAGTATACACATACATACATATACAAACAGACACACACACATATATATGTTACTATAAAAAAAAAAAAGCATAAACTTAAAAACTATTTGAGTGCATCACTATAGCACTGATATTAAGACATTACTATAATTTAAATTGATCAATTTGAACTCTTACCATCAAAACATGAGGAAGATGATTACATTAAAGGCATACTAGCTGATTATTCCATTTCAAAAGACCTTTTGTGAGCTGGTCAAACAATTAAACAATTTCCATGCATTATTAACTTTGCTTGTGCATGACAGACATTAGTTACGTAACAGCTGCCCTTTTAGAGTGTCATTTTTTTCCTGTGGAAACTGAAACTAAATGCATTGACCTGTTTTTCTATTTACCCTCAGACGTTTTAAATGATATAGAAATATGAAACAATTCTTGAGACAAAGAACATCAACAAACATCAACTAGTTATTTAAAAAAATAACTAATTAATCACACATTTTTTTCTGAAATTAATCCCACCTAACATTAAAGTTTTTAAAAATATTTTTACATTGCAATAATTTCACATTCAATCTTCAAATTACTGTAGAAACAACAAAGACAGTATATTTTTAATATTTGTATAATGGCATCTTGTTTATGACTGAAGGCCAGTGTCACTCTTGATGTCTCTATGAAATAATTTTTCCCCCTAATATTTAACCATTGATTAGCCATTCAATGTTACAAAGCTATCAATTTTAACATTTATTAGACTACTTAAAATAACTTCTAATTTAAGTGAACTTACTGTAAAACAATCTTAACATAAACCCATTATAATAAATGTCATATTTACCTGTGCCCTTCAGCAAGTAGGAAATATACATAAATTGATCAAACACTAAATTCTAAATTAAATAAAGATGAATCCTTAAAGCTACAAAAGTTATTGATTTCCTGTTTTTCGTTTGATCTTTGATTACCAGACATCACAGCAGCTGGTTATTTGTTTTTTTTTTTGTCTGCTGTCACATTAAGAGCTGTCGCTGCTGAGCGTGATCTGATACGCATCTCTCTTGACCTTTTCTGACCCACTTCAGTTCTTAAAGTCTCTATTGAGTTAAATCGAGTGTGTTAGGTGAGGGAGACAGTGCTGGGATGCTCCAGGACAGTTTGGAAGCATTTCAGATACACGTTCTTAAATGTGACTCATATAAAAAATACATACATGCACAGTTTTAAGGCAGCTTTAATTGCCTTTTTGGTAACTTCATGACTTAACTGACGACATAACTACGACATTGCATGCACATTGTTTTTCATTCGCACTTTGATATGAAATGATGAGCGCACCGGCGCCTTTGTGCGTGCAATTGAAGAGCATTCTGCGAGCACAGCACCATTTCCTTGTTTGACTCACGCCTGACCCTGAAGTGAAGTTGGAGCACACGTCTGAAAAGTCTCCTGTTTGATGTGGTCATAAAGACATTCTGCGTTTAAATAGATGATGGTTCTTGTCACGAAAAAAGAGACAGAAACAGCAGTTGTGAGTGGGGTGGCCAACCGTAGCCCTGCCCCTGCGTTAACGGCGTTAAATATTTTTAACACGTTAAACTGAAAAAATTTATCGCCTGCGTTAACACGCTAATTTTGACAGCACTAATATATATTTAATGCATCCAAATACATATTTATTTCTTTAAAAAAAAAACACTTACAGACCCAAACTTTCAATCAGAGTATATGTTAGAAATGTTTACAAAATATTTTAATTTCTAGGATAGGAATATGTTTTGAGCTTATCAATTTTCTTAAACAGTAACATGTTAATAGATGGCACACGGATAGTTTTAGATGGTAATAAATAAAAGTACAAGGTACTTCAAAACTGCTGTGGTAAATGTCCAGACAAGCATTGTATAACCACGATACCAGGATGAGAGTGAGCACTATGCATACAACTTACATTTGAGTCATTTCTAGCCATGGTAGTCTTACCTTTATCAAGGTCTCCAGCAGGTTCTTACAAACTTGCTTCTTATCCCCAATGGTCATGTCCTTCTTTGTCATGAGCACCCGATATCTGCTGAAGAAATCTGGATAGGTCCACCTAAGAAATGATATCAGATGTGATGAGGAAAAAACATTTGAAATAAACTCGTATTTGTGGTTTAATTTCCATAGTTATATAATTTCCAATGATTAGTAAGAGTACATGAGGTTATGCATGTGTATACGAAGTACTTGTTTGAAAAGCATAAGAGCCCCATGTCTACCCGGCCCTGAAGCCCTTTAAAGGAATCTGTAGATCCGTTACCTGGATGGATAGCCGGCGGCACTGATGCGGATGGTCTCCAGAACTCCACATGCTCGCAGTTGCTGAACAGCTCTTCTAGAATCAAACCTACAAAAAGCAAGAGAGCAATCAAAAAGTGAGGAATCTTTGTGAAAACCAACGTAAGAAGATTCTAAACAAGGAACATCTGGGTATAAAAAGTGAGCATGGCACACCACAAGAGATTTGGGGTGCTATCTAGAGACCTACCGGATCTTTCTTTTGAGCATAGAGCACATCTCCTGTGAGAGAGGCATTGGGAGACTGCAGTCCGCTCAGGGACTGGAGGCTATCTGACTCAGAACTCTGTGACTGTGTGTTCACAACCTTAAGAGCATGTGACTGACAAAACCCTTTCAATTTAGCATCCTTGAAGGGGCTTTTGTGCTCGGAATTTGTAGAGGACACAAACAGAGCAAAACAAGACCCTATCCTTTCTTAGAAATGTGAACTTTACAAAACAAATAAGCAAATAAATACATTTAATATGATAGACTAAAGATGAATATGGTGTAACACATTAAAAAGCTGATAAATACTTTATAAGACAGAAACATTTCCTTTTATTACAGTATTTGGAACAGACCAGTCAATATTACATCAGGTTTTCACTCACCTCAAACATTTCATGGAAAAATAATTAACAAAAGTGTTAAATCAGCAAGTACTTTGCAGATGGGAGCCACTTCTACTTTAATTCTAGGTTTAATTATACTTTATATAACCTTATCGGCTCATTCTTAGAGGAGCTTTGATGTCTGATTGTTGGAGGAAACTTGCAGTGCAATTGAGGTCGATCAAATGTCTCTGTACCAGCATGACTCTAATGTTCTCTGGCAGCTTAAATTAATTTGCTGTATACCTCTCTATTTATATGCAAGATAAACTAGATAAGTACTAATGGATGGATAAGACGAAGACAAAAAGACCAAACTTACACAAAGGATTCCTTAAAATCGTTGGGTTTAATGCAGCGCACATAATGAGGGGTGGTAGCATTCAGTGTTTCCATCAGAAGATGTAGCGAGTTCCTGAACTGTGGAAAGGAAAAAGTTTTCATTTTATCATTATGTTATGCACCTCATCTTAATAATAAACAGAGCGTCAGTGGATCCACTGTCCAGCATCAATATGGAACTAAAACTGGCCTCTGACACCAAGTCTCACCTGGGTGCCCACAGTTTTCCTGTGCTCTCGGTTGTGGCCTTTTGGAACTGGTTTGGCAGCCCGGACGTTGATCTTGGATGTCTTGCTGGTGGCTGGGCCACTTCTACTGATTTTCATGGGAGAAAACTAGGTTTAATTATACTTTATATAACCTTATCGGCTCATTCTTAGAGGAGCTTTGATGTCTGATTGTTGGAGAAAACTTGCAGTGCAATTGAGGTCGATCAAATGTCTCTGTACCAGCATGACTCTAATGTTCTCTGGCAGCTTAAATTAATTTGCTGTATACCTCTCTATTTATATGCAAGATAAACTAGATAAGTACTAATGGATGGATAAGACGAAGACAAAAAGACCAAACTTACACAAAGGATTCCTTAAAATCGTTGGGTTTAATGCAGCGCACATAATGAGGGGTGGTAGCATTCAGTGTTTCCATCAGAAGATGTAGCGAGTTCCTGAACTGTGGAAAGGAAAAAGTTTTCATTTTATCATTATGTTATGCACCTCATCTTAATAATAAACAGAGCGTCAGTGGATCCACTGTCCAGCATCAATATGGAACTAAAACTGGCCTCTGACACCAAGTCTCACCTGGGTGCCCACAGTTTTCCTGTGCTCTCGGTTGTGGCCTTTTGGAACTGGTTTGGCAGCCCGGACGTTGATCTTGGATGTCTTGCTGGTGGCTGAGAGAGGACCAGCATCTTTACCATCGTGGAAGAGATCCGCAACCAGCTGGAACTGTACCAAAAAAATAAAATAAAAACAATAGTGAAAAGTGAACGTTTTCAAAAGAAAAAAAAAAAGCCACATTTTTTTTTTAAATTTATAAATATATTTTAAATATGTTTTGTAGAGGCACAAGAATATTAATACATTTGATTATATAAGTGTCACATTAAGAAATCGTGACTGCTTAAAGCTTTCCATTGATATTACAGACGCATCACATCTTACATAAGGGGCATACGTTTTTATTTATTTTTTTAATTCTAGCTAGACTAGTGTAAAATTTGCATTTAACTGCAGCAGCACTTCAAAGCACATTTGGAAGCCCTTTCAAATCCACTCCCTAAGCATCCACTGTAAGGCAGGTACACAGTGTGTTTCAATGCATCCCTAATACCATGATCCTGCCAAGATTCAGGGCTCTAAGACAGAATATAGATGACATCATTAAGTCTGATACAGTAGGATGACACTGATAAACAGAGATGCTGGACCAGAGACTAAATACAAATTAAAGGTGCGGACAGAAATGCTATCCCGAGTTGAACAGGGTTGGAAAAAGTACATTTAAGTAAAATTTTAAATTCAAACAATTTAATAAAAATTACGGTAACACTTTAGTATAGGGACCAATTCTCACTATTAACTAGTTTCTTATTAGCATGCCTATTATTAACATATTGGCGGTTTTTAGTACTTATAAAGCACATATTCTGCATGACCATATTCTATATCCCTTATCCTACCCAATACATAAACTTAACAACTACCGTACTATTAATAAGCAGCAAATTAGGAGTTAATTGAGGCAAAAGTCGTAGCTAAGGTTTGTTAATAGCGAGAATTGGACTTTAAAATAAAGTGTGACCAAAATTACAATTTTAAACTGAAAAGGATTTCAGTCCTGTTTTAAATCAGTAAGAAAATAACACAAATATAGTATACTTTTAAAGGAATAGTTCACCCCAGAATGAAAACTTTTACTTACACGTTAGTATTTAGCATTACTTTAAACAAATTTGTCAAATATGTTTTGATTTGAAAAGACAATAGGTATGTTTTTTTTTCACTGGAGGAAGTGTTATTATGAAGTATGGAGTAAGTATTAAGTTTAAAGTTAAAATGTCTTAAAGGTGGATTTGTTTTTTCTTACACAGCTTTTCACTTCACAAGACAAATTCTGACGGCACCCATTCACTGCAGAGGATCCATTGGCGAGCAAGTGATGTAATCTTTGATGGCCTGACGATTGCTAAATTTTCTGCACTATTTTCATTTTTGGACAAAGTATTCCAATAATAAGGACATACATACGTGAAATAGTATCTTTTAAGTGCCGATCAGTGGTAGATGAAATAATGAAGTCATAGACATCACACAAACTATTCATTAAAACAGCAAAAGATCATGTTAAATTATTTGTGTACAACCTAATTAATAAGCAAAAGCTAAGCCTTCACTATTTAATCGATAAAAAAACATGTTTTTAAACCACAATGAGAGCCCTGCATGATGAGTACACTGCAGATATCCTGAAGAGAACATAGCTGGGAAACATATTTAAACTTCAGACAGCAGTGCTGAAAACTGTTATCACTTGAGACAAACTGATGTTCAAATTGCACTTCTTCCACAGGGACACCTCATTACAAGAGTCCTAGTGAAAGTTTCACTCGACACTGTCCTGCAGAGAAGATCTTTAGCTTGTAGATGCTGATGTGCTGCTGTCTACAAATGAATTCTGTTGCCAAGAAACCTCAGAACAAAACACTACGAGAGAGATCAGTATTGACAAAGACAATGGATATACTATTTAACCTCGGTTAAGATGGAGCCGGCTGTTCGAGTGATACAGTGCTAGGTGTGGGCAATGTCAGGCCTCTGTTTGCCTGAAAGTCAATTAACTGCGTAAACGGGCCAGAGAGCAAAACATGAGCTAAAGTGTGATTTCCATCATGCAGACATGAGGAAGCGTGAAGCATAAACAGAGGCTTGGCTGGATGGGGAAGAGTAACATAACTGAGCTGAGTTAAATATACATTAAAAAAAATTGCTTAAAAAAAAAAAAAGTATTCTTAACAAAAAATATACAGTGCTCACCTGACTGGCCTTGAGGATGTTTATCTGCTCCTCATAAACAGTGTCTCTGTTCTTCTCCAGGAAGCCGTCACACTGATATTCAACCTGTCATAATGTCACAAGTGTGATGCATTCATCAGTATCACACTAAAAATAGCATGCTACATCATTTTTGTGCCCCCAAACTGGCATGAAGATGAATCATCTATTTTTGTTGCATTCATCATGCATTATTAACCAAAACATTTGTGTTGTGTAACACAATTTCACACAAATTGGGTTTTAGTGAGCCCATCTGCGCAACACACATTTTGCTCATTTCCACAAAAAGCATTTATGTCATTTTTTTCCATTTAAATCTGTTACAGATTTAAAAATGAAAATGGTTTACAGCTTAAATTGTGAAAAGCCTGCTATGTTTGTAAAAGAGTTTTAGGAAGTTAAAGGGATAGTTCACCCAAAAACAAAAGTTCTGTCATTAATTCCTCACCCTCGTGTCGTCCCAAACACGCAGGACCTTCATTCATCTTCGGAACACAAAATAACTTATTTTTGATGACATCCGAGAGCTTTCTGACATGAGGGTGAATAATTAATGACAGAATTTTTTTTTTTTTAACTATCCCTTTAAGTATGATAGGTTGGGTGATATTATATCCCAGCAGCATCCTGAGCCCTATAGTGTGCTTAATATAAGCTGAACAAACCTTATCTGCAAAGTGGACCACAATGAAAGACCTGTTGGACATCCTGGGCTTTTCGAAATGCCCGCTGTTTGAATGCTGGCTGTACAGCTTCTGCGCCCAGTTTTGATCTGTTCCTTTAGGCACCTGTCAGATGCAGTAAAGAAAAATACTTTGAACTGCAGGAAACTGAAAACATTATTCGGGTTACCTGTAGCAGAAATAGCATGATCACACTTTTGAAGCTGCTCTGATTCATACTCAAAAACTTCAAAGAGGCAGAGGTCTTTAAAACTAAATGAGACGCTCTCTTCAGAGACCGGTTTAGATAACATGCCTCTCAAATTCTCTTTATCGTATTCTCAACAACTGTTTTCTCTCTGCTCGTGACTCACCTTACACTCTTCATCAAGAAGGTCCAGAATACCAAGCTTGGCTTCAATGAGGTCAATGCACGGCTGGTTATCATAGAAATCTATAAGCGTCCAGGGGATCTGCTCCTTCATATACTCTTCTTGCTCCAGTTTAAACACATGCTAAGGAATATATGATGTATATGTATTAGGTAAATGCATCAAAAACATTACATTTGAAACTAAATACAGCCAAGAGTCATGACACAAACACACGGGTCATTCCTGTCATGCAGTACATTTTCTAACTTTTTAAAAATAAACGCTTTTGTATTTCTACACCGTATGATCTATTTACTTCTAAATGCAATTCTAAAATGTAATTGAAAAGCCATTGAAAAGAAAAAAAACAAACTGATTAGAAAGTGATATAGAAAAACTACAAAATGCTTATCAATTAAAACAATATTCCTGAGAAAACTAGTTTCATTCTGGATTATTCTTTAGGAAATGGTCAGGTTTATTGTAGATGTGCACAACACTCAAGAACAAACTAAAGGAGTAAAATTGTAAATTCATTTTCTTAAATAATGAATTTTTTTTTAATTATTTAAAAAAATACAAGTTATTATTAAAATAAAACAAAAATCATTTCCACTTTTAAAAAGTGAGAAAAAATTATAATCATTATAATACTTAATCTAATAAATAAATACTTATAAATAGTATACGTCTAAATACTGCATATTAGTGTCAGTGAAATTGAAACTAATTAAGACGCCCTGTTCAGAGTTCTGTTGTGAAAAATCTTTAAATTATTGTTCAATATATTTAAAAAATATTATTACCGGTAATAATATTGAAAATATTAAATTAAAAACATTTATAACTAAATGCAATTTTTAACCTTAAAAATTGAGAATATACATTATTTAGCCTATACAACTGTATTTTATCCAATATATTAAGACATTTAAGATAGTATATATATATATCTAAATACTGCATAGCACGAGTGGCCCAAAATACGATAACCATATTGACCTATTGATAATCTATTACTGACCGAGTTGAACTGTTGCTGTAGTTTCTCATTGGCGTAGTTAATACAGAACTGCTCAAAGCTGTTGATCTCGAAGGTTTCAAATCTGTTGGGAGGTGAAGACATGTTAATAAAAAAAATCAATCCGATTTCCCTTAAAACAAACTCAACACCTTCCACACTTCTCTCTGCATCCGATAGCTTGGCACTTCTCTGCTTATTTACACTAATGCTGATCAATAAGTTCCCTTCTTTGAAGAAGTAATTAGTCCCATGGTCAGAAAGGCTTACAGGCAAATGCTGACTCTAAAAACTCAATGCAGTTTCTGCTAAGGGAAGGTCAAAACACAAGACATATTACTCTACTGTATATAAGAAACCGAAGAGCTACGTTTCTCAAGCTGTACTTGCATGCCCTCTCATTATCACAAGCATTACCCATAGATATCCAGCACCCCAATGAAGGAGTGTTGTTTGGTGGACGTGTGCAAGGCCTTATTGACGTGCTCCACGATCCAGTCAAAGAGATGGGCGTAAATGTGTTTGGCCAGGGCGTCTCGGGCGTTGACCGCTTGGGCATGCGACATGTTCTTCACATAGGTCTCGGCAGTGGTCACCAGCTTCCTGCGGCACAGCCAGTGCTCCATCTGCTCCTGCTCTATACCCAGCAGCCGACAGAAATTATGTAAATGTGTGCCATCCCTCTGCAGGTGCAAAAAGAGATTGCAATTGTTTAGTGAAGGATAGTCAGCAGTTTAACGCTAATGTGCTAAAATAAATAACATACACTAAGACACGATATTTGTTGTACACTTACGTTGATATGGCAGGATTCTCCATCTCTCTCCGACACAATCCCCACATTCCCCAGGTGCAAGATGGAGGCAATTACTTTAAAGATGCTCATTTGATGGATCTCTTTCACACCTGCACAACACACAGTGTTGTAATATTTATGTTTGACACTCAGTATGGCTTGTTGCAAAACCTTGGTTATAGTCATATTTATTGCTGAAGTTTTTACCAAGCATTGTAAGAGCTTCTCTTGTCTTCACAAGGTCCTCAGCGTCGTTCACCCCTTCAATGAAAATGTTCTCACCGAGAGACGTGTAGGTAAAGTCCTCTGCACTGGCTAAAACATGAGGGTGAATAGACAATTTGAATAAGTAAGAATTAAAGACTGTCATTGGCAGCATTATGATCAAAATTATGTACGCTGGCATTCAAAAGTTTGGGGTCAGTAAGAGCTTTTTTTTAATGTATTCAACAGGATGCATTCATCAAAAGTGACATTAAAGACATTTACATTGTTACAAAAGATTTCTATATCAAATAAATGCTGTTCTATTGAACTTACCATTCATCAATAAATCCTGAAAAACGTTTACAGTTTCCACTAAAATAGTAAGCAACTGTTTTCAACACTGATAATAATACTAAATGTTTTTGAGCACCAAATCAGCATATTAGAATGATTTCTGAAGGATCATATGACACTGAAGACTGGAGTAATGGATGGCAAAAATTCTGCTGTCACAGGAATAAATTATATCTTAAAGCTGCAGTTCCGTAAGTTTTGCCTCTGTCGCCATCTCTGCAATTGCAGCTGTTTGCAGAATTGTTTTCCTTGTGTGGGTTGTGCTCTGGCACGGCTCCAGCGCGGATGAATCTAATGTTTTGAGGAGTATGTGTGGCAGTCAGTCACCGCACCGGTGTGGATATTCACTGTACTTCAAAATCACAGATTCTAGCCTACGTCTTGTATGACCCAAATAAGAATTTTCACGTATATTGTCATCTGAAAAAGTAAGTAACAAGTCTGCCACGTTTGTTCTGACCAACTGAAGAAAAAAGCATTACAATAAATCACACTATGGTGATTTAATTTAAATGAGCTCATATCACATCAAACTGTGCAAACTATTATGATTGTTATACTTTATTCTCAAATTGTTAATGTTAACAACATCAGCATTACGTTACTATGTGAATATAGTATGTATAAGCGTGTAGATTTCAATATCTGTCCAGTCTAATCTCTAATTTTAAAATTTTTTAATTTGCTCAAATATTGATTTTGGATCATTTTTAACCAAAAAAAGTTACGGACTGCAGCTTTAAAATAAATTAGAAATGAGAAATCTACTTTAAATAGTAATAATTACATTTACATTTAGTCATTTACTTACAATTTGGAAAATATAAGCAATCAAAACCAACAAAAGAGCAATAATATGCTATGTGCAGAGACAAGTCTCGGTTAGCCTAACGCAGTACACATAGCAAGACTTATATATATATATATATATATATATATGCTGAGATGTGAGCAGCTATCGTCAAATCATCAGGATGGAAAGAGACAGAGTTGAGTGTCATCAGCATAGCAGTGATATAAAAAGCCATGTTTTGAATGACAGAAACTAGTGATGCCATGTAGACAGAGAAGAGAAGTTGTCCAAGAACTGAGTCCTGAGGCACCCCAGTAACTAGATGTTGTGACTTGGACACCTCACCCCTCCAATAATATTTCCAAATACAATTTTATTACATTTTAATTGAATAAAATGTGCATATGAATATTTAATAAGAAAAAAACCCCAAAACAAATGAAGATACTTTAAGACATTATATTAAGGCCCTGTTTACACTAGTGCGTTTTAGTTTTAAAATGGCATTTTAAAATGAAAACGATCCTCGTCTACACTGGCGTTTTCCCTGCGTTTCAGAAACAATCTCCATCTACAGTCACATGACCATTCATGCAGGTACAACCATAGATATGTATTTCCCTATTATTTAGATGGCGGACGCATCTACGTGCTTGGAGCGGTCGAATGGGGAATCTACCTATACATATATATGGGTACAACAATGAGCATGATGTTATTGTTTACACAGTCATCAAGGATACGCAGAGCAAATGTGGGCAGCCACGCCATCATTTTCAAAAGTTTCCGTTTTGGTCTGTTTACACTGAAACGCAACCCCGGAGTTTTTAAACTAAAATAGGGTCTGCAGCATTTTCAAAAGTCTTGTTTTCAACCCTCGAAAACGCCGGAGTAGTGTAAACGACAGGCGTAATCATAACAAAAGTTATGCGTTTTAAAACGAAAACACACCAGTGTAAAGGTAGCCTCATTTGACAGATGAGCTGCATCGTGTCTCACATTTTTTTATCATCTTGTGCCATGAGGACCATATTGACACCTATTTCTGCCATCAAAAAGTATGTATCGTCCTACGGCCAAGCCCTAGTCAATGGCAAATAAAAACACTTGGATTTCAAAAATACAGTTACAAGTAACCAAACTAGTCACCGAGTTAACTGGACCACTTACTCAAGGTTAGATCTTTAAACTCTGGCAAATTATCGACTGGTTCTTTTCATCTCTGCAGAAGAACATTCAGGTTTAAACAGTGATGAAAACAGCGTCCCTATGAATAACTGAGATGATATTGTAAATCCATTGTTGATATAAAGCACATACAACTAATAAGAGGTATATGAAACATAAGGGTCAAAATTCCCTGGAAAATGCGATATTCAATTAATTCAGGATAATCAGAATATTTAATAGAAAATTAATGTGTTAAAAATGGACACAGCAACATAATTTGAATAAATGGAATTGGTAGTTAGTTTAGTTATTTGATTAAAAATGATGTGGTCCCACTTTATATTAGGGTGGCATTAACTACCATGTACTTACATTCAAAAATAAGTACAATGTACTCATTAGGGGTGCAATCGTTCAACTTACACACGGTTCGGTTTGTATCACGGTTTCGGTACGGTTCGGTTTGTGCTATGTTTAGGGAAAAAACTATATTGTCAAATAAAAATAAAGAAAATAAGAACAAAATCTAACTACAAGCAACAGCACAAATAAATGCAATAGAGCTAAGATACAAATAAAATAAACAGTGCTTTTCAGGTTTTTTAGGTAGGTCAGTTTTTAGAACAGTTTTTAGGAACAGAAATTGAATAAAGTAATCAAATATAAAACTACATTGTATATTTGACTGTATAAATTAAAAATGAATCCTTATTAAAGTTACAAAATGTATACAAAAATGTGAGTGATTTCCGTGTTGTTGCTGTTTAATTAACTTTAAGAATGTGCTGTCACTTTAAGAGAACACACTGATCCAGTGCACAGTTTGTTCAGCCGACTATGTCTGCTAGGATACTCACCAAGACGGGCATTTTGATAATTTTTGTGTGAATTTGTCCATTGAAGCACAATACTTCACAGAGAGCTTAATATTTGCACACGTTCTGAGACGCGGGTTCACGCGCTTCGGATGAGCACACAGATCTTCTCACTGCGTGCGCGAGTTTGGGTCTTCTAGTTCTTTAATATTTAAACTGGCAAGGCTTAAATGAGTTTTTTGATAATACACTCGAGGATATGGCGTACAACCTTCCATCTCAGGGCCTGCACTTCTTACACACCAAAACATGATTAATGATTCATAAGACACACTTTCCTCAGTACGGTGAAACCCAAACTAATGCAGGAAGCGTTAGGATCTGGTTTAGTTCACAACTGCTGTGTTATGACTAAGATTTTTTTGTTTTGTAGTCTGAAGAGAAAAAAAAAAAGCAATTTTTTTATAAATCAGAATTTGTTTTTTCCCGCTAATTTTGTCAAATAGGGGCAAAAAAAAAAATAAAAATTGGTAACACTTTACAATAAGGTTCATTAATTAAACATTAGTTAATATATTAACTAACATGAACTAACCATGAGCAATACATTTGTTACTGTATTTACTAATCTACGCTAATGTTAGTTAATAAAAATACAGATGTTCATGTTAGTTCACAGTGCATTAACTAATGTTAACAAGATTTTAATAATGTATTAGTAAATGTTGAAATTAACATTAACAAAGATTAATAAACGCTGTATAAGTGCAGTTCATTATTAGTTCATGTTAACTAATGAACCTTATTGTAAAGTGTTACCAAAAAAATTTTTTTTGCTACTTTTCAAATGCTTTTTTTGTACAGATTTTCTTTTTTGTACAGATTTTCTTTTGTTGTTTTTATTTGTTGTCCTAGACCCAGACTTTTAATTTTAATATGAAAATTAATCTATTTTTAGATGATTTTTCATAGATTAAAACAAAAAAGCAGATCTAAAAGACTGCAATAAACAAACCATTCCAATATTTATTGTTTTATATTGTTTATTAATTTTCCACAATGACAAACAATTTTGCTCCTAATATTCTTTTTTTCCCGCCATCATTTTTTGTTTTAATTTACCAATAAAACAAGTCATTAAAGTACAAGCAATATTTGTTGGTGAAAGATAAAGGGGAGGGTTTTTGCTTACCGATTCATCTTCTAATTTGAGATGAAGCACTTTGTCTCCCTCCTTATAATCCTTGATGATTTCAGCTGACTTCCAAACCTCCTCTGGGTCAGGGATCCAAACCCGGGTGTACTGAAACACAGATAAAAAACACTTTTAAATAAAAGAAACCTCTGATATTCCACCATAAGCTCAATCAACACATTTGAAAGCAACACATCTGTGTTTGTCAATAGCTATATTTCCATCCACCTATTTTTATGCGCATTTTGGATTATCACATAAAAAAAGCTGGATGGAAACGTCAAGATGCGCATAAATTCTAAAAATGCACATTAAAAAAACGTATGCGCACAACTGAGCAGGATGAACTTTTCCGGTCCACTGTGGCATATTTTTGCTCATCATGATATTTTCCCGTCGATACTGGAATGCGCGTGAACTACAAAGCCTATTTTACATAATAAATAGGCTAAGAGTTTAGCTTCAAATAGGCTACAACACGAATATGGACACATTCGGATTTGTGCCTAGAGAGCGAAGCCCAACTTTACCTTACGTTTAGTTTTTATTTAATTTGTTTTGGCCCGTTTATTGCTAAGCCTATATTATTATATACAGCAATTATATTTATCCATTAGAATTATATATTTATTCATTCTTGTTCCGTTCTGATACGGTTAAATTTAAAGGATTTGTTGTAAAGTGATGGGAATTAAAATATCCTATAGTGTTCCCTAATGTTGGTACATTATAATATTATTAGGCCTGCCGTTATTATTTCTGAAAATGCATGCAGCAAACGAAAATATGCGATTAATTGGTTAAAATTTGTTACTGTGGGTTAGCAAATTTACATTAGTAGGCTATTCTTATGCTTGGCTTCCCAGATAGCAACAGAGTCTGGGCCAAATCTGGTTTACATTTACTTCTGGCTTCAACGTTGTTGTTTTTTAAGTCTTGATTGCAAATGTTCGTGGTTGTATGTTCGTTTTGGATGTACGATGGATAATTAAAACAAAAATCAGGCTTGTGTATTTATGACATCAAAAATTACTTTCAAAAACAACTTTATTTTCAAAGCAGCCCCCCCCCCCAAAAAAAAAGTGCGGCCCCGCCCAAAAACCGTGCCTGCCCCCTCACTTGTGCACTCTAGGGCCCACCCTGAATTTATTACATATGAATATTATTATATTCAGTGGATTCTCCTAGTTTTCTTAGAGATATTTAGTGCCAGTTTATCAGAAAGTGACGATTTTGTTCTCTTTGACTCGTTGGATGGAAACTTTATTCGCAAATATTTTGTGATATTCCAGTTTTGCGCATATGTTAAATTTGCATCTTTGGATGGAAACATAGCTAATGTAATATGAACATACAATCATGGTTTTGCTTATGTCAGAAGACAACAACCCAAGTGGTCATTCATCTTCCCAGTGAGGAACAGGCAAAACTGAATAAAGCTGAATACAGAAGAGCTCCAATGCTTTTATCAGCAGACTCTGCATATAATTGGAGGATCAGCAGTACAGGCAGAAAAGTTAACAGAGATAAATTAGAACTGCAGCAGGATGTACGCAAACTATGTTTGCAGAATTTGGCATATCCTTCAGATAAAATGCTGCTCCATGTTATTTAGAGAAGAAAATTACTCAAATTGGATGCCTATGTGTTTGAGGTTGTCTGCCCTGAAAAATTAGAATCTGATATGTTTGAATCAACTGCTGGATGCATTCAAGTAGTATTCTTCTAGCAAATAGTCTTAGAGTTAATATATATATTAGTAGCTGCTGGACAACTAGTTGGCCATCATGACACAGACAGAGGTCTGCATTACCCAGCAAAGGACTAATGGAGATGGATTCCCTTCCTGTCAGCCCTGAGCTTTAGCCAAGATATTAAAGAAAGTAAGAGACTCATGAATCAAAGAAAAATAATATACCACTAAATGATAAACCATTTTGTCTTCTGCTCCTAGTGATGCTCAGTGTCTCAACGTTTGTGTGTTGGTGATAAACTGAAAGCAAGCTGAAGGCTAAGAGTATGTAATGAGAGAGTGCTGTTATCTCTCCTGAAAGCAGTTAGAAGTCAGTTTCCGCTGGCGATCTGTGTGTAAAGAACGCAGCTCTTTGACCTTCAAAAAATCCACAAAACACACTCAGTGGGTATAAGCCACTTAAAGAGCTGCAAGTTTATTAGAAGCACATTCAGTCGCTAAATCCACCACAACTCTGTATGATGAGCTTTAATAGATTCTTAACTAATAAATCATGCTCTCAAATTAAGCAGCAACCATTCAAACACTGTTATAAAGTCTCCCATCAGTATCCCACAATATAAGGGATATTTGAGCCAAAAAGGAAAATTGTGTCTTCCTGGTGTCGTTCCAAACCTGTATGATTTACTTTCCTCTGTGCAACATAAAAGAACATATTCTGAAGAATGTTAGTGTTTTTTGTCAACGGTCACCAAAATGGTTTGTTTTCCAATTTTCTTCAAACTATCTTCTTTTGTGCTCCACAGAGGAAAGTCATACAGGTTTAAAACAACACGAGGGTGAGTAACTGATGACAAAATGTTCAGTTGTCACTTTACCTATAGCACTGCATCAATTTTAAAATGTTGGACGACACCAAATTGACTTCAGTGTTATGGCTGATGATCAGTTAATTATGGATATTAAAACCGCAAATGCACATGAATTTAGCCATTGCAACATCATAATACAATATGAAAAATAGATGCTAATTTTAAGATTTGCTAAAGATTATGTTTAACAGTGTTATTAAATTAGTGTTTTTAAAGATTAACTTTGAGTGTTAGATGATCTAAATGTAAAAAAGCAAAGTAAGAATGCGTAATTAGGCTACATGTACAACATTAGGGCCCTATGATTTCGGAGATCCAGAAAACGCAGACGGAATCGTGTCATGGAATTTGCCAAATTTAGATGGATACATCAAAAGTAGGTCAGTGCACTAAAATAAAAACGTGATATGGACTAATATGTGTGATTATTAAGCCGCAAAACACTATTTAAATAAGAATCCTGCATTTCTGCGTTTCTCTGTGTAAACGAATGGCGCAGACGCACGGTTTAATTTACTACACAAACACTGAAGCACGCGTGACACTCGCGTTGTTTTCAGCCTCTGCCGCCTCAATATACGAGTAAGTTACATGAACATAATCTCTACAACTGCTCTGAGAGACAATTCATGAGCATTTTACCATTTCTTTTGAGTAAAACTATCGTCATATCATATACACACAGAAACTTAAAGGTCTTCACAGTGTTCTCAAACTTGAATTTGAGAAAAAAAATAAGATATTAAGACAATAAGACAAAAAAGATTTAATTCATAGGGCCTTAATTTAATTTGTTACATTTTTAATGCACTGCTGTTTAATATAGTAAGTTTAATGATTTCAATTAATTAGACATGCTTTTTGATTAATAAAATGTAACCATGAAAACAGTCTAGAAAAATTAAAATGGAAAAAACAAAAAACAATAATAAAAATATACAATAGATTTCATAGGACCCTACAATATCAACTGATACAGATAAATAAAAAAGAAAACTGTAATTTAAACAATATGGTACAAATATATCATGGACCAATTACATGTAACACTGCTTAAATGATTGGTTGTGTTTTAATGTCACCTTTTGAAAAACAGATCTTCTTAAAAACATACCTAAAATTCGCTGGCACAGTGGTGTGAACAAGTAACCTTTTTTAAAACATAGCCTAAACATAAAAAACTTATGAATGAATAGGAAATGAAACCTAAACCTAATGAATAGGAATGAATGAATGTGAAATATAAAATAGTTTGGTTTATTGTCCCACAAACAGAAGTTGCCCTCAATTGTGTACAGTACTGTGGAAAAGACAACTCAGTCTTTCCTGTTACGCCTGAACTTTGCACAGTCTTCTCCATTGAAGTCACTCCATATCAAAGCCTTCCCAGCTGACAACAGCATTTTCAATCCTAGTTAGAGGCGGAGTGAGAGATACTGCAGATACTACTGAATCGGGTGCTGAATTTGAGTGTGCTGCTCTGATATTACTCATGTGACAGTTTCACATGGAGTTAGATGCAGAAAGCACGTGCATCCCTGAATGTCTAAAATGAATTGTATTGCAGGGAAAGGAGGTGAATTTTTTTACGTTTTTGTTATTCTTGAGTGTACTTGTTCACACCTGATTTAAACAAAAGATATGACAACTAGCAAAGCCTAAGGCCCCGTCCACACGGAGCTTTAGCTGTATACGCATACATTTTGTATCGTATAGGCATTTTATCCAGACGGATCCGGCGTTTTGGGTGAGTGAAACCGATATTTTTTTAAACCGGGTCCCAGAGTGGATCAATCTGAAAACGCCACCCTTGCGTTTTCGTGTGGACAGCGAATCCGTATATTTTCTGAAATGATGACGTCATCAGCCCACATCTCGACGAGGACGAGACGAGGAGAAAAAAAAAGATCGGATAGGGAAAGCTCTGGCTTCCGATGAATAAATGTATTGTTTCATGTTTGTTCGTATACCGTGCGCAAGGTTTATGTGCATAGTCCAAGTCTTCCCCATTTTTAGTGTATCTCTGTGGCAGAATTACAGCGCCACATAATGGTCTGGCATGTATACTATAATGTTTTGTGTCGGTTTCGTGTGGACGCAGATATTTCTTGAGACGAGGAGAAAAAAAAAGATCGGATAGGGAAAGCTCTGGCTTCGTGTGGACGTAGCCTAAATTTCTACAAGTCACACCTGCAGCCTGATTGAATGCCAAGATCTTACTGGGATCATCATACATTCTGAGAAAAAAAATGGGACAAGAAATTGCATGGTGTATATCCAGCTTTAGAGATCATCTGAACTGGTCTGACACTCCTTTTAGGAGTCTGTGCTGCGCTTCAGGCAGAAATACGAAGAAAAACCGGGAGCGAACAGTGAGATTCACCAAGACACAGCGGAAACAGATATTTCGATCGAACAGCAGGGGTCCTGTCTGGCTTTGCAGTCGGTTACATCATTCCATCTTATATTGTTTCAGTGTAGCGTTAAGGCTGTTCAAAGGGCTCAAGAGACACAAGTAGCTTGATGATAATAAGAGCTGATGG